TCTCATCTTCTGACAGAATACTCCTACCAAACTCGACGTGGACCTTGAAGGTCGCTTTCTGTTCAGCTAAAATTTACCCCAATCTTGCATGGCGATAGAGGTGTAGTACGACAAACGCCTTGGGAGTAGATGTACGTTCTCTGAAGCCCGTCATCGATGGGCAATTATAATAACTACGCAGAATATCCCTGATACAATTTTAAAACTAGCTGTTAGCAGTGGTTGGTTGGGGCCCATTGTAGAAAATGTTACCCTAAACATATTTTGGAAGCATCACGTTTCACTATTTTGTTGGGAACTGCTGTAAATCATTGTCGCCTAGGTACATTTTAAAATCATCAACACATAAGGCTAGCCAAAACATGGGGATTAACTTTATTGTGCGATTTTAAATTCCTCCGGATACTTCGATGACATGTGTCCGACAAAATAATGCTCCAAATGATTAAATTTGATTTGGGTTTCCCTCGCACTTAATCAATAAAAGTGTTTAATATTTGCTTTCTCAGCCCTCGCCAATAATATTCGTTTCCTACGTCTCTTACATATTCTAGGTAGCTACTCATGCAAGGCTACAGTGGATGAGTCATCAAAGGGGAGATACCTTTCTCCATGCAGGTGTTTCTGAAAATCCGACTGTGACGTTGTTACCGTCTTCGCTGTCCCTGGAGGAAGGTGATCAGAGGAACCCTCACCTGTGGAAGGTTACCAACACAGGTGCTGTGAAGACGATCCCTGCAAGTCTGGTTTGGTGCCGCCCAGGTGGATCCTTATCATAGGTCAGTGTTGAATGTGTGATGATGTGGAAATGAAATTGAAATGTCACTGAAACGGTATATTGCCTCACCCCAATTACGTCCAATCGAGATTCATAATCCATTACATATTCAGCAGTACCATGCGTCTGTGCTGGAATTATATATTCTGGCAAAACTGAAATGTTGATTACCATTCGCATCTTCGGCTAAGTCTTTAATTTCAGTTGATACTTTGACATCATAAACTGGACACTAGGTTTGAATAAAATGCCTCTTTTATGTCGAGAGCAATATTCCAGCTTAGTTCCAAGCATTGTATATCTCTATTTCACTGCTTTTAAAAGTACTGTCGGGCATTCTCTTTTCAACGGACATTCCAAAGCTGCTTATACACTGCTAGATATACATGTGTAAACGTCAGTTGCTGGAGCTGAAGATTCTTTGGCATTTATTGATAAGTGGAACTTGGTTTGTGACGAATTATTGACATGTGTTAATGCACATCAAAGGCTAGCAGGGTATACGAATTGAACTGCTATGATTGACAAAACATAAACAAACTTTGCTTTGACAAAGAGTAGGTGTGTTCTTATGATGCGCTATAGAGGCATGAAGTGAACATGTATGTAGACGACTTTGTCTTTTTCTGTCAGACAAATCGAAAATCTTGAGGAGTGAGAGAAGGGATGGAGAGGCTGATGCTGAACTCGGCTGACGGATCTGGAGACTACATGTGTGGTGTCACCAACTGCACAGAAGAGCAACGCTTGTTATCATCAAGCCAAAAAGGTAATGATGATACAAACTAAAACATCCCGTTAGTTGCTAATTTTTCAACAACCTATGCTTGCGGTAAGAGGCGAATAGCTGGCGATCAGTGTGGCTGACTTGGTTGTTGTATGTTACTATATGCCAGTTCAAGCTATTTTGTGTTTTGAGTGAACATCACAGGAAGTGCAACCAGACGGACCAGACGTACATCAGTGGCGAAAACAGCGGTAGAGGTCGGCTGTATCTTTCAGCCTTCCAGAAATCTCGCTGTTACCTGCCAGAAAGGAGATACCTTGATCCTCATCTTCTGACGGAATACTCTACTACCAAACTCGACGTCAACCTGACTCGATTTCTGTTCAGCTAAAATTTACGCCAATCTTGCGCCGCGATATAGAGGTAAAGCAAGACAAACGTCTGGGGAGTAAATTTACTTCCTTTCATTTATTCCATCGTGTTTTATTCAGTCACTTATCTTACTGATGTCTGTTGGATTCTTAATTACTATTTCCTTACCAATGGTTAGATTGGACTTGTTGTGAAAATGTTACCTAACAAAGTTTACAAGTCTGAGGATTCACCTTTTTATTATGTTGGTTCAACTTCCAGTTAAACCTGCTGTAAATCATTGTTACCTAGCAGCATTTTGAAAAAGATCAACATATGTTGCAAAGGTGAGGATTCATTTTTGTGTCGTTTCCAAGTCCTTCCAGATCCTCGATGACATGTATCTCTCATAAAGCTGACAAAATAATGAATAAATGTTTGGTTGCCAGACAATCCTTGTTTAGCACGTATTTTTTCGTCCTAGCCAATAATATATGTGTCCTACATCTCTATCTTCTATTCTAAGGTAACTACTCCGTGCAAGGCTACAGTGGATGAGTCATCAAAGGGAGATACCTTTCTCCGGCATGCAGGTGTTTGAAAATCCGGCTTTGCTGACGTTGTTCCCACACGTCTTACAGCTGTCCCTGGAAAAGGTGGTCAGAGGGAACCTCACCTGCAAGGTTACCAACACAGGTGCTGTGTAGAGGAGCGATCCTCTGCAAGTCTGGTTTTGAAAGGTGCCGCACCAGGTGGATTCATCATTGGTCAGTGTTGAATGTGTGATGATGTGGAAATGAAAGTGAAATGTCACTGAAACGGTATGTTTACCTCACTAATTACGTCCAATCCCGGATACATAATCCGTCATATTCGCAGTACCGCGGTCTGTGCTGAATTTATATATTCTGGCAAAACTGAAATCAGTTGATTACCATTCGCATCTTCGGCTAAGTCTTTAATTTCAGTTTGATACTTGACATCATAAACTGGACACTAGGTTTGAATAAAATGCCTCTTTATGTCGAGGCAGCTATTCCAGCAGTTCAAAGCATTGTATATCTCTATTTCACTGCTTTTAAAGTACCAAATCGGGCATTCTCTTTTCAACCCGGACGTTTCAAAGCTTGCTTATGCTGCTAGATATACATTATGTAAAACGTCAGTTGCTGGAGCTGAAGATTCTTTGGCATTTTATTGACGGAGCGGAACTTGGTTTGTGACGAAGATTATTGACATGTGTGTGCACATCAAAAGGCTATACAGGATATACAGGAATTGAACTTGCTATGATTGACCAAAACATAAACAAACTTTGCTTTGACAAAGGAAGTAGGTGTGTTATGATGCGCTATAGAAGAAACTGGAAGTGAACATGTAAGACGACTTTGTCTTTTCTGTCAGACAAAATCGAAAATCTTTGAGAGGTGAGAGAAGGGATGGAGAGGCTGATGCTGAACTCGGCTGACGGATCTGGAGACTACATGTGTGGTGTCACCAACTGCACAGAAAGAACAGCAACTTGTTATCATCAAGCCAAAAAGGTAATGATGATACAAAACTAAAAACATCCCCTTAGTTGCTAATTTTTCAACAACCTATGCTTTGCGGTAAGAGAGGCGAATGGCTGGCGATCAGTGTGGCTGACTTGGTTTGTTGTATGTTACTATATGCCAGTTCAAAGCTATTTTTTGTTTTTAGTGAACATCTGGGGAAGTGCAACCAGACCAATGGACCAGACGTACATCAGTGGCGAAACAGCGGTAGGGGTCGGCTGTATCTTTCAGCCTTCAGAAATCTCGCTGTTACCTGCCAGAAAGGAGATACCTTGATCTCATCTTCTGACAGAATACTCTACCAAACTCGACGTCAACCTGACTCGATTTCTGTTCAGCTAAAATTTACGCCAATCTTGCGCCACGATAGAGGTAAAGCAAGACAAAGCGTCTAGGGAGTAAATTGCTAACTGATATTATACCATCGTGTTTATTCAGTCGCTTATCTTACTGATGTCTGTTGGATTCTTAATTACTATTTCCTTGCAAATGGTTAGATTGGACTTGTTGTTAAAATGTTACCTAACAAGTTTGCAAGTCTGAGGATTCACCTTTTATTATGTTGGTTCAACTTCCAGTTAAACCTGCTGTAAATCATTGTTACCTAGCAACATTTTGAAAAGATCAGCATATGTTGCAAAGGAATGAGAGAATAATTTTTGTGTGTCGTTTCCAAGTCCTTCAGATCCTCGATGACATGTATCTCATAAAGCTGACAAAATAATGAATAAATGTTTGGTTTGCCAGACAATCCTTGTTTAGCACGTATTTTCGTCCTAGCCAATAATATATGTGTCCTACATCTCTCTATATTCTAGGTAACTACTCCTGCAAGGCTACAGTGGATGAGTCATCAAGGGAGATGCCTTTCTCCATGCAGGTGTTTGAAAATCCGACTGTGACGTTGTTCCCGTCTTCGCTGTCCCTGGAGAAAGGTGGTCAGAGGAACCTCACCTGCAAGGTTACCAACACAGGTGCTGTGAAGACGATCCCTGCAAGTCTGGTTTGGTGCCACCCAGGTGGATTCATCATGGAGTCAGTGTTGAATGTGTGATGATGTGGAAATGAAAGTGAAATGTCACTGAAACGGTATATTGCCTCACCCCAATTACGTCCAATCGAGATACATAATCCGTCATATTCGCGGTACCGCGGTCTGTGCTGAATTATATATTCTGGCAAAACTACTGAAATGTTGATTACCATTCCGCATCTTCGGCTAAGTCTTTAATTTCAGTTGATACTTGACATCATAAACTGGACACTAGGTTTGAATAAAATGCCTCTTTATGTCGAGCAATATTCCAACAGTTCAAGCATTGTATATCTCTATTTCACTGCTTTTTAAGTACCGTCGGGCATTCTCTTTTCAACGGACATTCCAAAGCTGCTTATACTGCTAGATATACGTATGTGTAAACGTCAGTTGCTGGAGCTGAAGATTCTTTGGCATTTATTGATAAGTGGAACGGTTTTGTGACGAATTATTGACATGTGTGTGCACATCAAAGGCTAGCAGGATATACGAATTGAACTGCTATGATTGACAAAAACATAAACAAACTTTGCTTTGACAAAGAGTAGGTGTGTTCCTTATGATGCATATAGAGGCATGAAGTGAACATGTAGACGACTTTGTCTTTTTCTGTCGAACAAATCGAAAATCTTGAGGTGAGAGAAGGGATGGAGGGCTGATGCTGAACTCGGCTGACGGATCTGGAGACTACATGTGTGGTGTCACCAACTGCACAGAAAGAGAGTAACGCTTGTTATCATCAAGCCAAAAGGTAATGATGATACAAAACTAAAAAACATCCCATTAGTTGCTAATTTTTCAACAACCTATGCTTGCGGTAAAGAGGCGAATAGCTGGCGATCAGTGTGTAGCTGACTTGGTTGTTGTATGTTACTATATGCCAGTTCAAAGCTATTTTGTTTTAGTGAACATCACAGGGAAGTGCAACCAGACGGACCAGACGTACATCAGTGGCGAAACAGCGGTAGAGGTCAAACTGTATCTTTCAACCTTCAGAAATCTCGCTGTTACCTGCCAGAAAGGAGATGCCTTGATCTCATCTTCTGACAGAATACTCTACCAAACTCGACGTCAACCTGACTCGATTTCTGTTCAGCTAAAATTTACGCCAATCTTGCGCCGCGATAGAGGTAAGCTAAGACAAACGTCTGGGAGTAAATTTACTTCCTTTTGTTATTCCATCGTGTTTATTCAGTCACTTATCTTACTGATGTCTGTTGGATTCTTTAATTACTATTTCCTTACCAATGGTTAGATTGGACTTGTTGTGAAAATGTTACCTAACAAAGTTTGCAAGTCTGAGGATTGACCTTTTATTATGTTGGTTCAACTTCGGATTAAACCTGCTGTAAATCATTATACCTAGCAACATTTTGAAAAGATCAGCATATGTTGCAAAGGTGAGGAATAATTTTTGTGTCGTTTCCAAGTCCTTCCAGATCCTCGATGACATGTATCTCATAAAGCTGACAAAATAATGAATAAATGTTCGGTTGCCAGACAATCCTTTTGTTTAGCATGTATTTTCGTCCTAGCCAATAATATATGTGTCCTACATCTCTCTATATTCTAGGTAACTACTCCTGCAAGGCTACAGTGGATGAGTCATCAAAGGAGATACCTTTCTCCATGCAGGTGTTTGAAAATCCGACTGTGACGTTGTTCCCGTCTTCGCTGTCCCTGGAGAAAGGTGGTCAGAGGAACCTCACCTGCAAGGTTACCAACACAGGTGCTGTGAAGACGATCCCTGCAAGTCTGGGTTGGTGCCACCCAGGTGGATTCATCATAGGTCAGTGTTGAATGTGTGATGATGTGGAAATGAAATTGAAATGTCACTGCAACTGTATATTGCCTCACCCCAATTACGTCCAATCGAGATACATAATCCGTCATAATCACAGTACCGTGGTCTGTGCTGAATTATATATTCTGGCAAAACTGAAATGTTGATTACGATTCGCATCTTCGGCTAAGTCTTTAATTTCAGTATATACTTGACATCATAAACTGGACACTCACTTTGAATAAAATGCCTCTTTATGTCGAGCAATATTCCAGCAGTTCAAAGCATTGTATATCTCCTATTTCACTGCTTTTAATGTACCGTCGGACATTGTCCTTTTCAACGGACATTCCAAAGCTGCTTATACTGCTAGATATACCCGTATTAAAAAGTCAGTTGCTGGAGGGAGTTGAATATTCTTTGGCATTTATTGATAAGCGGAACTTGACATACGACGAATTATTGACATGTGTGTGCACATTAAAGGCTAGCAGGATATACAAATTGAACTGCTATGATTGACAAAACATGAACAAACTTTGCTTTGACAAAGAGTAGGTGTGTTCTTATGATGCGCTATAGAGGCATGAAGTGAATATGTAGACGACTTTGTCTTTTTCTGTCAGACAAATCGAAAATCGTGAGTGAGGAGAGAGAAGGGATGGAGAGGCTGATGCTGAACTCGGTTGACGCATCTGGAGACTACATGTGTGGTGTCACCAACTGCACAGAAAGAGCAACGCTTGTTATCATCAAGCCAAAAGGTGATTATAATGTATCAACACATCATGCATGTCCCGGAAGGAGTAGGCGAGACAGTAGTGAGCTGTTCGGTACGTCATAACTGAGAGGGCTGATTTGGTGGGCATTGTCAGTACTGAGAACATGCATGTAAAGTTTCGTTTGTTTGTCTGATCCACTGGGTACGACCTCTCATGGAAGTAATCTCTTTGCAGTGTTAAATTAGATATTTCCCTTGTATTTATGTTCTCAGTGTGATACATTCAATATAACTGCTTTTAGAAAAGGTGTCCCGAAATCACAGACTCCAGAGGAACAGAGTGGCCTCAGACCGTCGGAAATACGACCATAGTGCTGCTCTGTCCTGGGGATTTCTAGGTATGTGTGTTGAGGTATTTTGGAAAGAGCTGATGACATTTGCCTTCTATGTTCATAACATGCATTGTTGAACTTCCCTTTCCTTTGTGAATTGGGTATAACGCTTTGAGGCAGTAAAGTATGTGAGTGCTGAGAGATATAATGCTTTGAATAGTACCGTATGTGAGTGCTGAGAGGGTATACAGCTTTGGATAGTACCGTATGTGAGTGCTGAGAGGTATAACGCTTTGAATAGTTGCGGTATGTGAGTGCTGAGAGGTATAACGCTTTGAATAACATGGTATGTGAGTGCTGAGAGGTATAAAGCTTTGAATAAGTCAAACAGATGAAGTGCATCTTGGAAAACTATAGACCAGTGTAAATCTCCATCTAAGGTGTGGAGAAACTATAGACCAGTGTTTGAATAGTACATGTGAGTGCTTCATTCTTATCTAAGGTCCTTGAAAACTATAGACCAGGCTGTTAAGGTCCCGAGAAGGCAGGTTATCTGCTCATCTTCTTCAAAATGACCTCTTTGACAAGTATCAATCTGCTTATAAATGCCAAACAGTACAGATACCCAATGTGTCTTCACAATGAGAGTTTCTATCTTTCAGTTGTTACCCTAAGGATCCGTGCTTGGTCCTCTTTTGTTCACGCTGTACATCAAGGCCCTTGGTGATTCTGTCGAGGCGCAAGGTGTTGATCATCATGGCTACGCAGACGACATGCAACTTCTGATAACATTTGCAGTTAGTGACTCCCAGAATGCTATACCCCATCTAGAGGAGTGTACCATTACCGTCAAGTCATGGCTAACTTGTAACAAACTGAAGATGAATGATGGAAAAACTGAAGCAATCATTATTGGACATAAACAGAAAAACACATCTTTTGGAGACAGGGACATTTCTATTGGTAATGCCAATATACTGTTCTCTTCTGCTGTCCTAAAACCTGGTGTTTTGATTGACTCTGATCTGCAAATGGAGAGCCAGGTTACCAACACTTGCAGAAGTTGCTATCACCATATTCGCATGATTGGTCACATTCGACAAATGCTCTCCGGAGAATCCAATTGTGTCCTTGTACGCTCGTTAGTTCAATCACGTTTAGACTACTGCAACAGTCTGTATTATGGCTTGCCAGAGAGACCCTCACAAAGCTGCAGAAGTGCAGAACACTGGTGCAAACATCAGCAGAACAAAGAAGCGCTCTCACGTCACGCCTGAAGTCCTTTGCATTGGCTGCCAGTACGAGCAAGAATAGAATTTAAGACTCTCACGCTTGCTTATCAGTGCTTTCACTCAACTGCGCCAAGTTATCGAATTGACCTACTCTCCATATAAATTCACTAATTAATTAATTTAATTAATAGTTGCGGTATGTAAGTGCTGAGAGGTATAACGCTTTGAATAGTACGGTATGTGAGTGCTGAGTGAAGTAAACAACGGGGTTGTAACGAATTCAAAGGAACCACTTTAATTTAGTACGTTATAGGCGTAGTTCGTTATAGGCGTAGATCGTTATAGGCGTAGTTCATTATAGGTGTATTACGTTATAGGCATAGTTTGTTATAGGCGTAGTTCATGATAGGCGTAGTTCGTTATAGGCGTAGTTCGTTTTAGGCTTAGTACATTATAGGCGTAGTATGTTATAGGCGTAGTTCGTTATAGGTGTTGTTCGTTATAGGCGTAGTTCATTATAGCTGTATTACGTTATAGGCATAGTTTGTTATAGGCGTAGTTTCTTATAGTCATACTTCTTCATAGGCGTAGTACATTATAGGCGTTGTACGTTATAGGCATAGTACGTTATGGGCGTATTTCGTTATAGGTGAAGTTCGTTATAGGCGAAGTACGTTATAGTCGTAGTTCGTTATAGGTATATTACGTTATAGGTGTAGTTCGTTATAGGCGGAGTACGTTATAGTCATAGTTCGTTATAGGTGTAGTACGTTATAGGCGTAGTACGTTAGAGTAGTAGTACGTTCTAGGCGTAGTTCGTTATAGGCGAAGTAGGTTATAGTCGTATTTCCTTATGGGCGGAGTACGTTATAGTCGTAGTTCGTTATGGGCGTAGTTCGTTATAGGCATTGTTCATTATAGGCTTAGGTCGTTAAAGGCGTAGTTCGTTATGGGCTTAGGTCGTTAAAGGCGTAGTTCGTGATAGGCGTAGTTCGTTATAGTCGTAGTACGTTGTAGGTGTAGTTCGTTATAGGCGTAGTACGTTATAGTCGTAGTACGTTATATGCGTAGTACGTTAAAGTAGTAGTACGTTATATGCGTAGTTCGTTATAGGCGGAGTTCGTTATAGGCGTAGTACGTTATAGTCTCAGTTCTTTATAGGCGTAGTACGTTATAGTCGTAGTTCATTATAGGTGTATTTTGTTGTAGGCGTAGTATGTTATAGGCGTAGTACGTTATAATCGTAGTTTGTTATAGGCGGAGTACGTTATAGGTGTAGTTCGTTATAGGCGTAGTTCGTTATAGGCGTAGTATGTTATGGCCGTAGTACGTTATGATCGTAGTTCGTTATAGACAGAGTACGTTATAGGTGTAGTTCGTTATAGGCATAGTACGTTATAGGCGTAGTACGTTATGGTCGTAGTACATCATAGGCGTAGTTCGTTAAAGGCGGAGTACGTTATCGTCGTATTTCTTTAAGAGCGTAGAACGTTATAATCGTAGTTCGTTATAGGCGGAGTAGGTTATGGGCGTAGTTCTTTATTGCCGTAGTTCGTTTTAAGCGTAGAACGTTATAGGCGTAGTATGTTATAGTCGTAGTATGTTATAGGCGTAGCTCGTTATAGTCGTAGTTCATTATAGGCATAGTTCATTATCGCGGTAGTTCGTTATAGGCGTAGTTCATTATAGGTGAGACCGCCTCCGTGGTGTAGTGGTTAGAGCGTCCGCCCGGAGAGCGGAAGGTCGCGGTTTCGATACCAAAAGACGTTAAAATATGGTACTTGTTGGTCCCTGCCTGGCGCTCGGCATTAATGGGTACAACAAGGACTGGTCGGCTCGGAGTCAGTATAATGTGTCTGAGTGGGGTATTCATGCTTCACTGCGCCATGCTATCTCAGTGGGCTAGCACTATAAAACCAGCTTCAGTCTGGGCTAGTACAAGCAGCCGCACATACACATACACATGCATGCACGTCGTCATATGAACGAAATATTCTCAAGCACAACGTTAACCCCAATTTCACCTCACCCCAGTATAGGTGAATTATTTTATAGGTATAGTTCGTTATAGGCGTTGTTGATTATAGGCGTGGTTCGTTATAGGCGTAGTTCGTTATGGGCGTAGTTCTTTATAGGCGTAGTTCGTTATAGGCGTAGTTCATTATAGTTGTGCTATTTTATAGGCATAGTTCGTTATAGGCGTTGTTCATTATAGGCGTGGTTCGTTATAGGCGTAGTTCGTTATGGGCGTAGTTCTTTATAGGCGTAGTTCGTTATAGGTGAAGTACGTTATTGGCGTAGTTTGTTATAGGCGTAGTACGTTATAGGCGTAGTATGTTATAGTCGTACTACGTTATAGGTGTAGTTCGTTATAGGCGTAGTTCGTTATTGGCGTAGTTCGTTATGAGCATAGTTCGTTATAGGCGTAGGACGTTATAGGCGTGGTTCGTTATATGCGTAGTTCATTATAGGCGTATTTCATTATAGGTGTATTACGTTATAGCCATAGGTCGTTATAGGCGTAGTTCATTATAGGCGTATTTCGTTATAGGCGTAGTTCGATATGGGCGTAGTTTGTTATAGGCGTAGTTCGTTATAGGCGTTGTACGTTATAGGCGTAGTACGTTATAAGCGTAGTTCGTTATAGGCGTTGTACGTTATAGGCGTAGTACGTTATAGTCGTAGTACATTATGGGCGTAGTTCGTTATAGTCGGAGTACGTTTTAGTCGTAGTTCCTTATGGGTGGAGTACGTTATAATCATAGTTCGTTATAGACATAGTTCATTATAGGCGTAGTACGTTATAGGCGTAGTACGTTATAGGCGGAGAAAGTTATAGGCGTAGTACGTTATAGGCATAGTACATTATAATCGTAATACGTAATAGGCGGAATACGTTATAGTCGTATTTCGTTAAATACTTAGTACGTTTCAATCGTAATACGTAAGAGGCGGAGGACGTTATAGTCGTATTTCATTATAGGCGTAGTTCGTTATAGGCGTAGTACAATATAGGTGTAGTACGTTATGGGCCTAGTTCGTTATAGGCGTAGTTCGTTATAGGCGTAGTTCGTTGTAGGCGTAGTACGTTATAGGCGTAGTATGATTTAGGTGTAATACGTTATAGGCGTTGTACGTTATAGTCGTAGTACGTTATAATCGTAATACGGAATAGGCGGAGTACGTTATAGTCGTATTTCGTTAAAGACGTAGTACGTTATAATCGTATTACGTAATAGGCGGAGTACGTTATAGTCGTATTTAATTATAGGCGTAGTTCGTGATAGGCGTAGTACAATATAGGCGTAGTACGTTATGGGCGTATTTACTTAAGAGCGCAGTACGTTATAGTCGTAGTTCGTTATGGGCGTAGTTGTTTATATACATAGTTCATTATGGGCGTAGTTCGTTATAGGCGTAGTTCGTTGTGGGCGTAGATCGTTACAGGCATTGTACGTTAAAGGCGTTGTACTTTATCGTCGTAGGACGTTATAGGTGTAGTTCGTTATAGGCTTAGTTCGTTATAGGCGTAGTACGTTATAGTCGTAGTACGTTTTATTCGTAGTTCGTTTTAGGCGGAGTACGTTATAGGCGTCGTTCGTTATAGGCGTAGTACCTTATCATCGTAGTTCGTAGGCGTAGTACGTTATGGGCGTAGTTCGTTATAGGCGGAGTACGTTATAGTCGTATTTCCTTAAGAGCGGAGTACGTTATAGTCGTAGTTCATTATCTGCGTAGTTCTTTATATACATAGTTCATTATAGGCGTAGTTCGTTATAGGCGTAGTTCGTTGTGGGCGTAGTTCGTTACAGGCGTAGTACGTTATAGACGTTG